TCCAAATGGTCAGTCCGCCCCTGGTTCAGGTCCACAAATGCTGAAAAATGATCTGTGCACATCACACACACTTCCAGCACGGACAAGATCTGACAATCCATCACTGTTATCTGTGTGCACAGTGGGGCTGTATCTGTGTTCAGGCCTGGTTAGAGAAGAGGGGTAATCCATCATTCAGCTCTCCTCATCTGTTTGCAGCAAGCATAATGCAGGCCATAGATGGGTCGAAAATCGGCCGATTTTTCGGCCGAAAATAAAATCGGCCGATTTTCGGATCGTTAGTGGGCTATTTGTTCGGCTGTTTTTCGGTATTTTGGCAGATTTTTTTTATCGGTAAAGTTGGAAAAAAAATCGGCCGATTTTGCCGATCGGGCCGATTTTCGTGGCAATGATGGGCAAATCGGCCGATTTTTTACCGATAAAAAATCTGCGCATGAGCAGTGACCTGCAAGAGGAAGACAAAAAGAAGAAAAAGAAGAAGAGGAGAAGAAGAAGAAGAAGAGGATGATGATGAAGAAGAGGATGATGATGAAGAAGAAGAAAAAGAAGAAGAAGAGGATGATGATGAAGAAGAAGAAGAAGAGGATGATGATGAAGAAGAAGAAGAAGAGAGGATGATGATGCAGAAGAAGAAGAAGAAGAAGAAGAGGATGATGATGAATAAGTAGAAGAAGAAGAAGTAGAAGAAGGAGATGATGAAGAGAAGAGGATGATGATGATGAAGAAGAAGAAGAAGAGGATGATGATGAAGAAGAAGAAGAGGATGATGATGATGATGAAGAAGAAGAAGAGGATGATGATGAAGAAGAAGAAGAGGGATGAAGAAGAAGAAGAGGATGATGATGAAGAAGAAGAGGATGATGATGATGAAGAAGAAGAGGATGATGATGATGATGAAGAAGAAGAGGATGAAGAAGAAGAGGATGATGATGAAGAAGGATGAAAAATAAGAGGAATTCCAGTCCGGCAAAAAAGTGTCCCTGCAGAGAGCTCCGCTATTTCTTTGACAGTTCCTTGACATTTACAGAGGTTGCAACATTTTATCTATTTGTTTCCGAATAAAAACATCTGTATCCTAAATGGATACAAATAGATACAATGTTGCAACCGCTTTAAATGTCAAGGAACTGTCAAAGAAATAGCAGAGCTCTCTGCAGGGACACTTTTTGCCGGATGTAGATGGGATGAAAATTGGCCGATTTTTTTTATCATTGCTGGTAACGTCGGCCGCTTGAACGACCGATTTTTCGTTTTTTAAAAGAAAAATCGGCCGTTTTTCTCCCCGTCTATGGCCTGCATAAGGCACTCTGCTGACACAAAACAACTATTTAACACAGGGATTCCCAACCGGCGCTCCAAGGAACCCTAGGGTTCCTCCAGAAGTTGATAGAGGTTCCTTGAGCAATTTCGGCCTCTGAGATATGTTCCTACCATTGATCTTTTTTGCTATCTGTAAGGTGGTAATTCCTCCCAATGACCACAAGTGTAAGGAACATTCTTCCCACTGACCATCACACTAATGTATCATGAGTTGTAGATATAGTAATTATTAGAAGGGTTTCCCTGAGACCGGAAAGTTACCTTATGGATTCCTCTGTGTTGAAAAGGTTGAGAAAGGCTGATCTACCATATCAAGAGCTGCGTCCAACGTGCAGGAGCACCACACGGTTTGTACATGGAACTCCTACTGATGTGCTATGAAAGTGGCTATTGGTTAAAGCAGAACTCCAGTTTGGATTTTTTTCTTCTGTTTGCTGTAGAGGGGTTCCTGACTCAACTTCTTTAATTTTTTTTTCTGCATGCACTTTTTTCCAGCAATAAATTTGTGTGATCCTCTGGCTGTGAACACTGAGCCTCAACAGATGCTTCTTTTTGTTTCAGTGCCCCCCCTGTAGTCTCCAGTACTAAGGTGATGATGCAGCCGCCACAGACCGTGGTCTTTAGCATTGGCCCAAACATCACAGCAGCCAATGCTCACAGAAGGTTGAACTGCAGAGACGTCTGGGATATGCAGTCGCTGCGTCACTGCCATTGAGGAACACCTGAACTTTTGGCCATTTGGAACCCTGTTTGGCAGAAACCAAAAATCATATAAAGTTTTGTTTCTATCACTTCTATATACGACGGCAACAGTAGCTAAAGAAGCAGTGGGTGTTGGCACCTGCTGTATCCCTAGGAACGGCTTATGTAACTAGGAATCCACAGCTAAATAACCAAAGGGGTAGGGACAGTGATGACATGACAATTATGTCACCACTATTCCAGCTTTTTCATTTATTTAGCCAATGACAGCAAGGGGAGCTGTCATTCGTCTAGTGGTACCATTGGGATCAGTCACATGCACTGGATCGTCTGTTTTTTTTGTAAGTCAGCAGGTGGTGGGCATCATGATTGACAAAGAACATTTTTGGGGGGATTTTTATATTTTTTAATAAAGGACTTGTCAGATGTTTGGGCTTGTTTATTTCTACGTTATATTTTTATTTTTGTTAAATGTGTACCCCATACTCATTCACATAGAAGGAAATTTTGGGCCATCTTATTAGAAAGTGGGTTTCCAGATTCTGATAAACCCTTACCCACAGATCCCCATAACTTCCAGCAGAAGCCCTTGTCCTCATACAAAATGGGGACAAAGGTGCTTTGCTGGGGGGACCCCTTTCCTGGCCAGGTTCACCAAAACCCAGGGTAGTTTGGCTCAGTACTCCCTGTGACACTATCACTAGCAATGTAAAATTCTGACAGGGGAAGGATATTTGAAGTCAGCATGCCCCCAGAGCTACATCTCCTAAAATCTCTCTCCCTATATTCAAAAAGAAAATAAATATATGCATGTGGAGAGGGAAATAAAAGGGCAAAGACTAAGCAGATTTTGGTAGTCCAGCAGACAGGGCTGGCTGACAATACTGGTTGAGATTCAGAGTAATAGAGGCACTGTGTTGTCAGCCCAAACAGGAGGTTATACGCTCACTGGATTACTGACAGATCAACATATATTTGTCTGCACTTACAGATTTCTAAAGAGATATAACATGGGGAAATGTATGTTTATAGCAGAGATGTACTGAATAGGTTTTTTTGTAATATGGTTTTTTTTTTTTGCCCTGACATACACATCAAAGTCAAATGCCAGTGGGGTTTTTTGGTCACTTTTATTATATTTTTTTTAAGCTCGCTAGCTGCTGACTTTTGAAATACAGTATCAGGAATGGACTTGCCAATAGTGGTGGGACTCACCTGCCTTGTGGGCTGCAGTACCAGGGCTGGCCAGCGGGTGCTCTCAACAACCAGAGGCTCACTTCGGCAATTAGCCATCACCTGGGGCTGATTGCAGGTGGTGTATTTAAGAGATGGCCAGACCTGCAGTCTGTGCCTTGTTGTACTGTTTGCTTGGCCCTGGTTTCCTGATCCTGTTTCTGCTGTCCTGACGCTGCCTGAACTCTGCCTGTACTGACCTCGGCTAGTCCTGACCACTCTCCCACCTGCTCCTGGTACTCCGTTTGCTACCGACCTGGCCTGCCTGACTACTCTTGTATCGTATGTTTGTTATCTGTTGGAGGTTTGGTTCAGTTTGTTTGCACTGTGTTATGTTTAGTTTCCCTGTGTCAGTCCACACACTTCTGGTCACACCCGCATCCCTGACATACAGACGCCTACCTGTCCCTTGATCCAGTGGTGTCCTCACCACGGCTGGTTTCACCGGCCGTCTTCTCTCCCTGGTGCCGGCATCTTCAGTGTGGGTACCCAGCTGTGACAGCTTGCAGCTTCACAGCCAGGTGCCCACTGCGCATGCGCGAGAAGTGCTGCTCTTTGTGAATGGCCCCGTAGTCTTCTGAGACCTGTCAAGTGTCCCAGAAGACTACGGGGAGGGACGGGGGAGGACAACTTCTGCTTCTGATCACCTAGCTGATCGCAGCGGAAACGGGAGCAGGTATCTGTCAAATTTGGGTACCCGCTCCCCAGATGTGCCAATAATTAATGGGGAGTGGGGGACAAAGCTTAAAGTGAAACTTCCCCTTTTGGGTGGAGCTCTGCTTTAAAATGACTGCAAAATTTAATATCAAGATTAAAGTGGTACTACATTCAGAAACTGATTATTTGGTTTCTTCTAAGGAGTATCTAAAAGATGTACCCTAAAAAATTAGCCTTCTAACTTGATTTTCTCATGAGAAGTTGCACGTTGCTTCAGTCATGTGGCTAGGCACTCTCGTAATGTAACTTAGCTGTATATCTGCAGGATGAGATCATCTAAGGCACTGCTGCCTCTGACTAATAGTCTCAACTGAACTTGGAGTGAGATTTGGTGCTATCACTACTGTGCTGGTCACTGTTCTCCTTGCTGGAGAGGTAGCTGTACCTGAGGACATGCAGTACAAGGATCTCCCTGCTTCTACTTCATTCTGTAGACCTGTGCTTTCCCCACCTCAATCACTGTCATTGGATCACCAGTCATCAGGGGGCAGCTCTGATATGAAGAAGCAAAGCCCTGACCCTACCAAGATGGCCCCCTGCACAGCACAGAACAAGATAGGATAATGAGGAATAGATCAGATGTGAAGAAGCCACAAGAAATACTGGTGACTAGTCCCCTACAAGTCCTTTCTAACCTCTTTCTAATCAGACCTCTTTTCAGTGCTGAAACCCCCGCACCAAGAACTTGCTGGTTGGGCAAACATTTTAAATTATTAGACATTAGGGGACATAAATTAGCCAAGTATAGTACATTTATCGAAATATGTTTCATTACATCTCCACGTCAAATTTCAGTTAAGAATTGGTAAATTCAATCAAAAGGTGCAAATGGGTTGATTTACTAAACCTGGAGAGTGCAAAATCTGGTGTAACTCTGCATGGAAACCAATCAGCTTCCAGGTTTTATTTTGTCAAAGCTTAACTGAACAAGCTGAAGTTAGAAGCTGATAGGTGACCATGTACAGCTGCACCAGATTTTGCACTCTGCAGTTTTAGTAAATCAACCCCAATGTAAAAATCCTACTTACACCTGTCGCGCTTGCTCGATGGGGTCGAAGTTATCCAGGTAGTTGTATCGTATGGTGTCGGTGGGATGTTTATCTGAAGAGCGCCAGGGCGGGACCTCCTTCTTCCCCCTGTCATGGGATTTTCCCGACATAGATCGGTAGGTAAGGGAAGACGTTAATTTTGTATCCAAAGCTTCTTTATTAATTGGCCTCACATCGATAACTACAAACTCTTCTTTCGGTGGAGTCTGTTTGGGAAGAACGTCATAAGGGTCATACAGGCACTAAATAGAGATGTATCGTTCTTGTTATGCTTGTTAGGCTTACCACACACGTTACAATCTAAACTGGAGCCTGTTCCTTCTCAACCACTTGCCAGCTGGGGCAGTCTTTTAATTTTTTGCACACATGAAAAATCTACATTTATTGCCAGAAATAACTGTAAACCAGCCCAAAAGAGTATCATTTCTAAAATCAAAGACCTGGAGAATAAAATGGTGCTAGTTGCAATTTTTTTATGTTGTATGAGATTTGTGCAGTTATTTATTAGCCACTTCAATATCGGGCACTTTCACCCCCTTCCTGCCCAGGCCAATTTTCAGCTTTCAGTGCTGTTGCACTTTGAATGACAATTGTGCGGTCATGCAACACTGTACCCAAACTAAATATATATAATTTTTTGAGACAGCCATAGCTTTCTTTTGGTGGTCTTTAATCACCACTGGGTTTTCTATTTTTTGCTAAACAAATGAAAAAAGGTTTCTGTTATAAAATATTGCAAAAAATTGCAAATAAATAATTTTTATTAAGCACTAATGTGTGCTGATGAAGCTGCACTGATAGGCACTGATAGGCTGCACTGATGGGCACTAATGAGACTGCACCGATGGGCGCTGATGAGACTGCACTGATGGGCGCTGATGAGACTGCCCTGATGGGCGCTGATGAGACTGCATTGATAGTCATTGATAAGGCTGCAGTGATGGGTAGTGATGAGGCTTCACTGATGAGGTGGCACTGATAAGCTGCACTGATGGGCATTTATGATGAGGCACTGATGAGGCTGCACTGATGGGCAATGATATGCTGCACTGATGGACACTGATATGCTGCATTGAGGGGGGTGCACTGATTGGCACTGATGGGGCTGCAGTGATTATCAGTGTAAATGTCCCTGTCATAGGAAAGCCAATTATCAGCTTTCCTTTCCTCAGGCAGTGATAGCGCTGAGGAAAAGGAAGGCTGATTACTAACATTTGTTTACATGTGATCAGCTATGATTGGACACAGCTAATCACATGGTATAGAGCCAACGTCATTGGCTCTTTACCCTGACTGGTAATGCAATCACTGGTTGCTGCGCTGTGCGCTCCTGAAGGTGTATATACTCAGCAAGAATGAGCGAACGTGAAATGACATCCTCCAAGAACGAAAGAGGTCCCTCGTCCTACTGTAGAATGAAGGCCAGTTAAATGCATATTTTCAGGAGAAAATACACTACATGGATTTTAGTGCAATCATGGTAATTTGCCCTTTTTTTGGTCAAATATAAAAAATGAGTTTGTGTCGAGTAATAGATACAAAAGACATATCATAAAATTACACATGCCTGTGGAATTGCATAAAATTCACCCAAAACTCTCTATAGCCAAAGCTTTAAAAGCCTTTATAGGGTATCAGTTTACAGTTAGCCATGAACCATGGCCCTAGAATTACTGCTTTCACTGTGCGGGTAAAAACAGTTGCACAGGAGCACTGGCATTTACACATGTATGCAGGGGCGGACTGACAACTCATGGGGCCCCTGGGCAATAGGGGATCATGGGGCCCCTGTGTCCTTGCCCAAACTCAAAAAAGCCTATGAAAAAGGTACCAGGGGCATCTCATGTGGCCCCCTACTGACCCCGGGCCCTCGGGCAGTGCCCCTGCATGTATGGCTACGTACAGCTGCTACACTGGGAATTTCACGCTTATGCACTCTTCAGCCTCTAAGGCCTCATGTACACAGGACACTTCTGAACGATGGAAACTGACTGCTGGAAAACGTAGATTAAAAAACGCCTGTTTAGCTGCGTTTGCATACCGCGTTTATGTGCGTTTGCATTTAGAAGCTTTTTTTTTTTTTAAGATAACGTCAGGAGACCTTCCCAAATGCCAAGAATGCACTGAAAAACAGTACAAATTTACTATTTCAGGCATTTTGAGAGAAATAGAGAGAGTAGAAGCAGAGAGAGCAGTATGTGTTGAGATTAGCTGTCTTTTTTTGTGGTGTTTGAATGTGTTCCATCTCATTTCTGTGCAGAAATTATTGCAGCAATGTAACATATTCTTTCATGCAAAACCTCAAAGTATAATGTACCAGGTCCATTTGAGTACTGGGAAAACGCTTTCCATGCATTTTTCATGATGAAAAAAAGCTCTGGACAGCATCTGGAAATGGAAGAGTTAAAAAAAAATTTTAAATCGCGGTTAGCCGAGTTTACAAGCGTTTTGCGTTTGAAACGCTGATAAAATCTACTGCTGAACACAAGTTTTCTGCGTTTAAAAAAACGGCTAACTGCCTGTAAACGACAATGTGTATATGGACACATAGGAAAACATTAGGGTGAGTTCAGGGGCTGCTGAAAAAAAATGCTGAACAGCTCCTAAACGTGAGTTTATCAGCTGCAGTGTACATGAGCCCTAAACATCCATGTGCATGCGGCCTTACAGATGTTACAGCTGCTATGCTCATTGGTTGATTTTTGATGCCAATTAGTCAGATCTGCATAAATATAGGGGAAAAAAAAAAAATTTAAAAAAACAATTTTTTCGGCTGGTGTATTTTATCAATGCTCCCCATAAATGAATACACTCCTGTAAAAGAGGTTGCCGCACCCACCTTGGGTCTTGTGACGTGCAGTTCGTTCACTGTCTCTATGTACTGTCTCTTCCAGATGCCTTGCTCAAAAGGCGTTGGAGAAAAGTTGATGTACCAACCGAATCGCAGGCACTTGGGCATCCACAGCTGGTCCAGTTCTGTCAGGGTTTTCCAATGCCAGCTCACCTGAGGAAAGTATACACTTATCATCAGTACTACAGGTTTCCCTCAGCACTTTGCTCTCCCTTCCTATCAGCATGCCCCTCGTTATCTTATGAACATTGCAGTACAACTGACTGGCTCGTTGCCTCGAGTTCAGCCTTAAAGCGGTTTTAAAGCCTTAAAGTGATATTAAAGGCCTCTTTTTTTTTTAAATAACAATATCTGTGGTTTTGCACAGAGCAGCCCAGATCCTCCGCTTCTCGGGTCCCCCGCTGGTGCTCCTGGCCCTGCCCTCTTGTCGGGTGTCCCCACAGCAAGCAGCTTGCTATGGGGGCACCCACTGTTCCGTGTGTTCATTAACACACAGAGCAACGGCTTGGCCCCGCTCCCTTTCTCTTCTCATTGGCTGTGATTGACAGTGGCCAATGGCTCCTGCTGCTGTCTCAGCCAATGAGGAGAGGGAGTCCTGGGATTTCCAAGACTCCAGTGCACATCGCTGGATCGAGAGGGGGCTCAGGTGAGCATTAGGGGGGCTGGGGGAGCTGCTGCACAGAGAAAGTTTTTACCTTCATGTATAGAATGCATGAAGGTAAAAACGTTTGAGCCTTTCTAACCACTTAGGTTTACTTACATTCTATGCATTAAGGTAAAAAACCTTCGGTGCCTGGAATCCCACCCCCAGCCCTCCTTATACTTACCTGAGCCCCATCACGATCCAGCGATGTGCATGAGAGCAGCGGCTCTCCCAGCTCTGTCCCTCCACACCGAGCAGATCGATAGCAGCAGGAGCAATTGTCTCCTGCTGTTGTTGATCAAACTCTGTTACGTGGGAGCCTGAGCGGAGCTGTGCCCCACTGTCTGTACCTATGGACACAGGCAGTGGAGCTCGGGAGCAAGACCACATGAGTCATAGGACCTAGCTTCATATGGGGGCAGTGGCTGAAAAGAGGAAGCCAGGAACGCCGGTGGGGGACCTGAGAAGAGGAGGACTGGGGCTGCTCTGTGCAAAACCATTGCACACAGCAGGTAAGAATGACATATTTATATTTTTAATAAAAACATATTTTAAAAAACGAAGCTGTAGAACCACTTTAACCTTTTCTTTGTATCTGGAGAGCAGATGGGATGGTTTGCCACCACATAGAAAGGTATGAACTCCAGCAATGGGTTTGCTTTTTTTATTTTTACCACCATTAAAACTTCATTGAGGACCCTTTCCCTACCAGTGTCTTCTATTGTCTTTGGATCCATCTATACCTAACTTTGGGTTAGTTAGGCAGAAATGTTTGAAAATCCCTGTGAGTAGTAGCAAGCATTGTTTGAGCTCTGTGAGGTTCTAGCCTTGTGGTTGACAGGGACGCTAGAATCCATTGGAAGCGGTATGATGATCAGGGCTCTCTCTTTTCTTTATATATGTGATCTGACTGATGATCAGGGCTCTCTCTCCTTTTCTTTTTATATATGTGATCTGACTGATGATCAGGGCTCTCTCTTTTCTTTATATATGTGATCTGACTGATGATCAGGGCTCTCTCTCTCCTTTATTTATACAATTTGAATGATGATCAGGGCTCTCTCTCTCCTTTATATATACAATTTGAATGATGATCAGGGCTCTCTCTCTCTCTCTGTTATATTTATGATCTGACTGATGATCAGGGCTGTCTCTTTTCTTTATATATGTGATATGACTGATGATAAGGATTCTCTCTCTCTCCTGTATATATGTGATATGACTGATGATAAGGATTTCTCTCTCTCCCTGTATATATGTGATATGACTGATGATAAGGATCTCTCTCTCTCTCCTTTATATATGTGATATGACTGATGATAAGGATTCTCTCTCTCTTGTATATATGTGATCTGACTGATGATAAGGATTCTCTCTCTCCTTTATATATGTGATCTGAATGATGATTGGGGCTCTCTCTCTCTCCCTTATATATGTGATCTGACTGATGATCAGGTCTCTCTCTCTGCTTTATATATGTGATATGACTGATGATAAGGATTCTCTCTCTCCTTTATATATGTGATCTGAATGATGATCAGGTCTCTCTCTCTCTTTTATATATGTGATATAACTGATGATCAGGGCTCTCTCTCTCCCTTTATATATGTGATCTGATGATGATCAGGTCTCTCTCTCTCCTTTATATGTGTGATCCGACTGATGATCAGGACTCTCTCTCCTTTATATATGTGATCTGAATGATGATCAGGTCTCTCTCTCTCTTTTTTATATGTGTGATATAACTGATGATCAGGTCTCTCTCTCTCCTTTATATGTGTGATCCGACTGATGATTAGGGCTCTCTCTCTCTCTTCTTTTATATATGTGATCTGACTGATGATTAGGACTTTCTCTCACCTTTATATATGTGATATGACTGATGATCAGGGTTCTCTCTCTCTCTTTTCTTTCTATATGTGATCCTGATGATGATGATCAGGTCTCTCTCTCTCCTTTATATATGTGATCTGAATGATGATCAGGGTCTCTCTCTCTCCTTTATATATGTGATATGACTGATGATAAGGACTCTCTCTCTTTCCTTTATATGTGTGATCTGACTGATGATCAGGGCTCTCTCTCTCTCTTCCTTCTATATGTGATCTCTGAATGATGATCAGGGTTCTCTCTCTCTCCTTTATATAAGTGATCTAACAGATGATCAGGGAGCTCTCTTTCTCATTTATATATGTGATCTGACTGATGATCAGGGTTCTCTCCCTCTCCTTTATATATGTGATCTGACTGATGATCAGGACTCTCTCTCTCTTTTATATATGTGATCTAACTGATGATCAGAACTCTCTCCTTTATATATGTGATCTGACAGATGATCAGGAAGCTCTCTTTTTTTTTTATGTGATCTGACTGAGGGTTAACGCTCTCTCTCTCTTTTATATATGTGATCTGACTGATGATCAGGGCTCTCTCTCTCCTTTGTATATGATATTACTGATGGTCAGGGAGCTCTCTTTCTCATTTATATATGTGATCTGACTGAGGGTTAACGCTCTCTCTTTTATATATGTGATCTGACTGAGGGTTAACGCTCTCTCTTTTTATATATGTGATCTGACTGAGGGTTAACGCTCTCTCTTTTATATATGTGATCTGACTGAAGCTCAGGACTCTTTCTCTCCATCTCTCTGCTACGGTTACTTGCTGCTGGGAAAAATGGCTGAGTGCAGACAGAACAGTAAAAAGATACACTGCTGCCTGCTTGTGTCAGGGAACATATTAAGAGAGCACTCTCTAGTCAAGAACTGACCTGATTTATGTTAATGGCTCAGAGGAGCAAATTTTTTTTTGTTTACTTTTATGCTTTGGTCTTGCTGTACAAAGCCCTCCTGCATTGAAATTGTGCTTGTTTGCTGCCTTGCTGAATAGAAGTGCAGAAGAAACCTGTTTGCACTCTTCCTGGGTGTCCTTGGCTCATACATGGTTTGTCGCTGCCAATACCAGTTGATCCTGTCCCCTTTACAACATGCAATCTGTTAAAATTGGCCTGGGCATCTAGATATGAATGTTTAGAGATAGGAGCATCTTTCACTGACTAGAACAGACGGACTAGTGGGTGGGGGTCACATTAGCAATGACCACATGCAATACACACCTGTGCACAGCGGCAGAGGCTGCGGGGGGTCCAGGAAGGAGAAAACGTAGAGAGACAGAACCCGTGGCAGCACTGTGGTGAAGTCCATAGACTCCCGCGGGACTTTCTCCTGCAAGTGGTTGTTACAGAACCTCAGCTGCGACATGGAACATCTCTCGAACAGATCACAGAGGATCCTCCGTCTCTGGGCATCCGACCACTTGTCAAACTGGAAGCAGAAACAGTTCCCCTTGGTTAATCCTCACTTTCTGTCTTTTCTCAGATGTGTCACCTACTCAAGATTTACTAAAGGAATAGCGCATGCTCCCTTGGGAAGGTGAAGGTTCACTTAGAAAAACCTTGTGTTCACTTTGAGAAGTCAATGATGGTAAATAAAGTGTGTTCACTCTGAATACCCAATCATGTGCCAGGATTTTTTTTTTTAAAAGGATTTTTGCTAGTACATGACTGCTTAATTGAATTTACCATAACTTCATCTTATTTATTAAGCTTTGGGAATGTTCGCTTTGCTAAGCCTCTCTTGCTTTAGTAAATTGTCTCTGCTCCTTTTGCAACTCAAACCCATTGTGAAGATACAACAGAGTTTAATCACCTCTGTAGTTCCAACAAACGAAAAACAGTGTCTGCGTCCCCTTTGAGACATTATCCTTCACTACCAACTCAGTCAGCACAACAGAAAGTGAGGGATATTTCTCTAATGTGGACACAGATAATAATAATAATTATTATTATACAGGATTTATATGGCGCCAACAATTTGCTCAGCGCTTTACAATAAAACGGGAGACAATACAGCTCAATACAAGAGTGTTAAGAGGGCCCTGCTCCTTGGAGCTTACAATCTAAGGGCTGGTTCACTGTCAAGGTCCTACCTTTCCTCAGAGATTGTGTTGCTCCATGTGCTGGCATCCATCTTAAGTTCCTGCAAAGCATGGTGGGAGCCTTTATGCTTTCAGGCCTCTGCGGCTCCTCCTCCAGAAGGGTGTGGCTGATCACATTTAAGCCTGCTGTCTGCAGTTGCTCTTTGCATTCGTGTCCTGTATGTTCCTTTGCAGTAAGCTCTTGTTCTGTTCTCATTGATCTCCTGGTAACTGACTCGGCTTGGACAACATTATTCTCTGCTTTATCCCATTACCTGACCTCCTCCCGTTTCTGAACCCGGCCCGTGACCTGAGTATTCTTGTCCACCGTCTTGTACTGTTTGCTCCGTTGTTATCGACCCGGCCTGTCCGACCACGCTATACGTTTTCCATCTGGCTCCCACCAGCT